GGGGGGGGGGCTTTCCAAGGGACGGCTGGAGATGCTCTAAGCCACTCGTCGTTAGTATTGGAATTGGTGCAACTTTTTCTTGAATTGGCAGTGACTTCATAATACACGCGTTTGTGTATATGTCGATAGTAAAAAGCTGTTCATACTCATTTATCAGTGAACTGGACACAACATATTTAACTCACACATTGACTGACAAAATGGTGCAAGTTTTCAATGGAGAATTGATTGAAATAAATGAATGTAAACTTGCCAGGCAACTTACAGTGAAAAGGTACCCCTAAAAAAACTTATACTGGAAAGATAAAACGGCAAACAGTAAAATAAAAGATGCCGCTACAAAGACTTAGACTAGTTTTTTTTTAAGTATTTGAAGTATATTATGGTTTTCTCATAAACCACAATTTTCCTAACTTTGAGGTGTTTGGGTTCAACAAATATCACAGTTTTACAAACATATTATCTCTAATACCATTTTTTGTAGTATTCAAGAAAAGATGTCTTGACCACTTTTTTTCTAAACTGAAGAAGAAAAAAGTATGGTTTTTCAAAACTGAAGTATTCATTGTTTACACAATTGAATATAGAGGTTTTAGATTACTACGGTTTTGAGAAAACTATGTTGCCAAACTAGGCGTTAGTACAAAAAACGTCTCAGCAAGCATACATATAATAATTTGATTACATGATTAGGGCCGGATGGTTGATAATAGAAATTACCATATCTCCATCATTAAGCACTACTTCTTTCGTCGTACTAAATTATGCAACAGAAACATAACCTTAAGGGAACAGTTAATCACATAATCGATCTTCCCAACCTCAAATTTTGTCCAACTAAAATATTAGATGGCCAGTACTACCAAAATTTGATCAAGGCGATAGGTGTTGCATTTAATATTTGATGGGTGGTTCGGAGGTGGCCATTGTCGCCATTGGCCAGGTCAAGACAACTATTGATATTTATATGGGAGGGATATATACACGATTGTTGAATCATGGAATGCATCCTGACTAATATAGTGGTTGGGATCCCAATGCAAATGAGTAGAGGAGATTCCGGTGGGCAGCATCGCGCCCGAGTGCTCCTATGAAATTTGGCTATTTGACTTGCTATTCTATGGCCATGTTTGCGTGCATCGGTTGTCTCTTAAGAGAAAACTAGAGAGTTCTCTCGCGTGCTAGTAGTTGTAGTAGGCCAGTAGACTAGCACATGTGGAAACCGATGTAATGCCGTGAAATTGCATAGGAGCACTCGGCGACGCTGCCCATCAAAATCTCCTTACTCATTTGTATCGGGACGCGTCCGTCAAGTAGAACTTTTTGTGTATATATGTGTGAAAATGGCAATCTCTATGCTCTCAGCTCACACTTGCTCTGGACACGAAGAACATGGAGACACTGAGAGTTTGTTCGCCACGAGTGCAATTGTGACTTTTCTGATTTATTTCTCCTCTTTTTATTCAGGTTACACAAAACATGGACCGCTCACGATCCTTACTTGTTTGTGTGCCATCCCATGCAAGGGCGGAGACAGGGGGGCGAGCAGGGGCTAGACCCCCCCCCCCTCCCCAACCGATCGCACCCCCAACTACTTTCAGCGAGCAGTGTGGTACTATTTGCGGTGATAATGGCCGGGAGTAATAATGAACTATTGCCAAAAATATGTTTTACTTCACAGACCAACTCTCTTAAAAGGATCAGCAAAAAATATGATTCTCTTTTGACAGCCATACATTAGAATGATATTACTGTAGTGGTAGACCGGAAATATTGATCCTCCTAACTTGTATCATTCAAAGTCTGAAGAATAGGCGAATAATCAAATTTAAGGATTATATGGTCATAATAACTTGGGGACCAAGTTTCAAAGCTTCAACTGAAACATCACCACCTAGCTACATGTCTTGATTGTGCAAAATCTCCATCAGAACTCACATATGCATTTACTTTGATCCATCTCACAACAGTAGGTAAACAAATGTCATTAGTCCAAATAGAATAGTAAGGTTTTCGCTTTCTAAACATATCTACAGTCTTTAGTTGTATCTTAAATGTTTCAACTGAGAGCTCCCTCCTGTGAATAATACTATGGATTGGAACTATGCACAAAAATGAACATCCAGTCATCTTGCATTACCTTTATAAAAATGGAATAATTGAGGTGGTGCCAAGCTTACAAAGTGTTCATCTACCTTGTTGCGGAGTAAAGAACTCAGAAGGTAGCTTCAGACCACACTGAGTTGCGGAGTAAAGTTCACTTCCCAACCATTCCTCGCCAGGAGAATTTATAGTTGAGACTTGAGCAAGAGTGAGAAAGAGATAAAATAATTAAAATATTGCATCGTATGGGTAAATATTTTCTGCAAAAAAATGTAAATTCCTTTGTGTGTATAACCTGTTCCATCTACATCATCATTCATCAAAGCAAACATGTGCACTTTTACAAAGTAATATCATCAGACATGTTCCGCAATGCATGATAGTAAGGTATGTGCAAATGTGAACCTACAAAGGGAATGAAAGAAAATGAGTTGCATCAAGAGGATGATAGCATTGTCTTCCTCAATAGTTTAGTAACAATGCAACATGGTTGATAAAATCTAATGTTGTATGCAAACACACTGTATCAGGGAAAATTAGATCAACAGATAACATTATTTATAAACCTTAATTGATGAGGGATCTCTGATGTACCTAGATAGTCATTACACCAGTATATTTTCTGCAGGAGTTGACTACATTTTATATGTCGTGAAACCCCTTGTGACAACGGTGCTCCTTCTCCTGACAAAGCTAACGCTTCAGCTGGCTGCTACTACTTGTAGACAAAACATGTTTGTGGGCATTCATATAGCGAAGAGTCAAATTCCACATAAATATAGCTATCTGAATATAGATCAAACTTGAGAAATTGGAAATGGAAGATTATAAACATAGCTATCTGAATTTATATCAAACCTGACAGAGAATTGGAGGTGCCCGATCAAGATGAGCAACAGTACTCGCTAAGGCATCATCCATCGACCAGTTTCAAAGAAGATCAACAGTAGTGCAACCTGCAGCTCATAGCTTGTTCCAAGAAAAAAAACCAAGTGTGTACTTCGATGTTGTAGCCAATTAGTTGCAAATGGAAAAATATTGACTGGTTCCACCAGTTAAACCAAATGCCTTGAATCTAAATGTGGTACATAAACAAATTCAATGTGTAGAAAGCAAGATGCAAGAGTCCATGGATTGGGATTTAATAAACACATTATCATGCTCAAGGAGTGAGAGGAGCTAGTAACAGAGGAAGGTCCGAACGTGTACCTATAGAGGGGTTCAGAACCGGCCACCACGGTGCGGTGCCGACTGAGAGGGCTCGAAATGCACCTTGTCCAGTACATGTAGTACCAGCAAGAGATGCACGTAGACCACAATGATTTCAGATTCGTCGAGCAGGTGTCCATGACGGTGCAGTGCCGACGGAGAGGCCTTGAAATTTTCCATGACCAATACATGTAATACCACCAGGAGATACACGTCGACGGCGAGGCTTCATTCAGGTTGATTTTGCAGGGCCGGAAATTAACAAATCTCGAGAAGACGCAGATAGCTTGATGTGGCCGGGATGAAGGGAATGGAGAAGACACGAGGGGGGGAACTCGATCAGGGGCGTTGGTACGAAATACCTGAGAGGCTGAGACGACGGCCAATTGGAATGGAGCTGCTCCACTTCTCAACGGGGATAGCGATCTGCCGGTTCTTCTGCGGCGTAGATGGGCGGATCGGCATGCGCTAAAGGCATAGAGCTGGCGGCGCTTCGTTGCTTCTGGGTAACCGGGCGGTGGTGGAGGTCGATATTGATGAGGGCGTTGAGGTCGTCGATGTTGAGCGCGTCGGGGCTGTAGGTCTGCACCTCCTTGCGGCGAATCTGACCGGCGCACCTGGATCCGTGGAGGGCGACAGAGAAGCTCAATCTATCGGAGGCGGCGGCGTTCACGGAAAGGATCTTGCTGGGGCTACCTTGGCTGAATGTAGGAGGGCTGGCTGGTTGGGTTCTTGTAGGGCGCCGTCCGGTGGTGAGTAGGTGAGGGTCCAGGGCGTCGCCTGCTCTGCC